TTCCTGGTTTAGCACAGCCAGTTTGGCTACAATTTAATCAACCAAGTCATTTTGGTTTTTCAATATACGATCCATGGTGGGTTTTTGCGCTTGGTCTATTTTAATTTCCCATTCAGTTTATCAAATTTGGCTTCCATTCTTAGTATTGTGTAAATGCAGTTGCACAGTTAGAAGCACTTCCTCAAAGTCCCCCACAAGATATGATTAATACATGTAAAAATGCTTAAATGAATGACATGCAAAATGCAATTATGCAAATACATATGCAAAAATGTTGATCCCAACGATGAATATCATAGAATAATTTTCACCAGAAGTAAAATCTTTCACATTACAAGACAATCCACTTTACAGACATGTCTTCACTTAGATGCTAAGTCCAAAATGGATCACTACATTGTCCTAAAAAATGATGCCCCTCAAGCATTCTGTAGCCTAACTCTGTTACTTCCCCTGCAGTGCTAAAGTTCGTGTGTCACTCCGGGATGACTAGCGAAGAAATGATCGTAGGTAAGACTCTACTGCTGGATTATTCCTCGGATCAAAGGATCATCTTTCTAATCTCGAATATTGCACGACCTTCGAGAAAATCTAATTCTTGTACTATGAACTTCTTTTAGTCTTCAGTATATGTCTGTGTATGCAACTGCTTGATTGGAAACTTTTATTTCTTCTCGTGAAATTTGTTTCTCAAATATCCCCTTGTGGATCAACTCTTTTACATTATGTCATGACGATGTAATGTAATGCAAAGAATGACGAAAAATGACACAAACAAGATAAAAGAAAGAAGTTAGTACAAGCAAGATAATCAATAGAGTTAAAAGATACTATTTATAGGTAAGTATAACACCTACCCAATCATGATATCTACCCGAACATGCTTTTATTAGATAGTAATCCTATCGAGACATGATTTCTACCCACAATGATTATTTTCAAGAAATTAATCATAACCGTATGGTATCTAGTTCGCATGCTTTTAATCAAAACATTTAAAGCAGAAGGAAAGGTTCAGAAACACTCCTCCTTTGTGTACACCTAATTTTAGGTACCTACTGACAGATAGGGGTTTAGTATAGTCATACCTAGGGTGATCGTTCTACGGTTCAATATATGCATGGTTTCAGCTATATGAGGAAAGGGTACTCGAATTATCTTTGATGTCGGTGCCCCTTTGGGCTGCCAAACCCTCGATCCTCACCCATTACAGGTTTCGAATGGATCGAGTTCAATTCGAGGGGATTCACTACCTTATACCCATACGAGGAATAAATCCCTACGAAGGTATAAGGTATGTATCACATGGGTTATTTGCTAAAACTCATACGAAGAATAAATTCTTACGAGAGTAAAGCATTTACCCCCACTTATTTGGATCAAAGGTCGGGTCTAGAGCTTATGTTATGAAAATGCACGTGTTTTGTACAAGGAGAAACATACAAACCTTTAACTCAAAACGAAATGAAAACAAGGAAAAAAAACTTGATAAAACCTTGACAAAACTGAAAAATAAATTAAAACGTTAGTACAAAAAGAAATACATAAATTAAAAATATTTCAATAAATGGATCAAAAGCTAACTATAGACTCGAACTCATAATTTCCACCACAACGACAATGTGTAAGCGACTTACTGTCTGACTCTCTAAAAAAATGTCCCCAACAGAGTTGCCAAGCTGTCATAACCATTTTTTTATAAAACAATTAAATATTATTTTAAAAATGATTATGATTTTTATTTTGAAAAATTGGTGATTTCAAATTAATTTGAAATAAATTGAATCGGAGTCGCCATCGACCTTTGAGTTAGGTAGGTCGAATACCTAAAAATGTTTTTTAAAAAATAATTTTAAGAAAAATCATTTTTTAGAAGAAAAAAAATAGTCTGCATTTAAAAAGATTTGATTAAAATAGGTTCGAGAGTCGTTTATGCGTGAGGAAGGGTTAGCACCCCTATACCGCCCAAAATTAATATTGTGTTGCTTATACGTTGTCGTAATGGTAGAAATCATAGATCGAACATAAAGTTAAAATATGACCAATTTATTCAAGTTTGATGAACTTACTTCGAGTTAATTATTAGGAAACATTCCTTAATTCGAGAAGAAATCACGAGATTTACACATCCTCCAATAGAAAGGCTATCTTGTCTATTTCTCCCTTATACAATAAATACTCCCCCTCGTCAATGTTATTAAAAACACAACTAGAATATAAATTGAAAAATCGACATTTTGCATAAAAATAAATTGATATTTTGAAACATGCATTGCATTGTTCAACTTAAAATAAAAATGAATTAATTAGCAAAATAAAATTGATTAATTTCAAATTCACGTTTTGTCCGAATTCGTATCAGATCGCACTACTTCGACCAATTAATTCTTTCCACGCCCATTCTACAAATTGATGCTCTCGAAAATGTTCGAATAAATAATAAAACATTCGAAATATTATTGTTAAGTAAAATATTGAGTAAGGATAATTTTATAAATTAAAATCAATACACAAGATCAAACAAAACAAAATTAATGATATGTAAATATTCAAGAGTTACGAAATACTAAGTAAACATGTATACATAACATGTATTTGTATAAATATACATACATAATAAAATGGAAAGAAATAGAAACCAAATTACAAGAATCAAATTATTTAAAAAAATAATAGTAAGGACCTAATGGGAAATAAACCCCAAGAACTAAAGCATTAAAGATGGTAACATAAAGTACGATTTTCTACATCCATAAATACTAAGGACTACAATCGAATACTATGTAAAATCAAAGGCTAAAAGTCGGAACATAAATAAATATAAGGACCCACTTATAAAGGCTAAAATAAAACATACAACAAAATTCACATCTTATAATATTAAAAAAATGGTAAGATACATTCAGTGACTAAAAAAACATTATATAAATTAAAGACAAGAATCAACATATATACATCAATGTGACAACAGGCAAATATAGACTAAAATAAGAAAAATATAGACAAAAGGGCTCAAATTAAAAATTATTAAAACTTCTTTCGTGATCAAAATACAATGATGCAAAGTACGAAGGACCCAAGGTGAAATTATCCATACACCAAAACATGTTGAAACCCTCCCCTTTATACGACGTTGTTTCGGTGATACTATAAGGGTTTAGAAACTAAACCCTGAATTGCCACTCCCTCATTTTTTCTATTGAGGCCCGAAATGGAGAGGGAGAGAGATAAAACTCTCTCATTTCTCTCTTCACTTTCTCCCTGCCGAACAAGAACCAAAGAGCTCTGGCCACCACAGGTTGGTGGCCATGGCGAATGAACCACTCCGAGCCTTCCTCCTTTCCACTCCTCTCTGGAAACCCACAAATCGAACCCAAAAACCAAATCGAAAAAAAACCTTTTTATCTTCGAAGATGGATTCCCCAGTTCCGGTGAAGCTATCAACGGCCGGATCTAAGCCAAGGTAAGCCCCTCACTCTATCTCTCTTTGATTTTTTTTGTTTCAAATTTTTTCCTCTTTTTTCTCCATTTTCACTGAATGCCTCTGTCTCTTTTATGGTTGCTTTTCATGTTAATTTTCAGGTGAGATGATGATGATGATGCCTAGCATAGGGGTATGGTCCTCTGATTTAAGGTAGATTGAATCCCGAAAAATCACGATTTAGGTATGGTTTTCTGATTTTCTCTATTTTCTCTGATTTTAGGGTTGTTGATGCACTATGGATGACGTTCATGTGAAGCTATCAACTGCATACCACTAGCTACACAAATTGTACAACGCATTAGAATATTCAGATGCATTAAGATTTTTTACTCCGACATAAATGGCTCCGATGAACAAACACCATTCAGGGCACATGCATTCTCGAAGAGAGTCGGTGCTGGTTGAAATGAGCAAGTTCGGTTGAGCAGAATTTACCAGGCACTCAACCTTGCAAATTTCGCCCAGTATCGACATCAATTGACAAAACAAGCTAAGTGACATGCAGTGCTATGCCATTGTGCCGAAATCTTCATTTCTATGACTTTTTTTTCAGAAGAAAAAAACTAACAGCAATACAGGCATGCTTGCTAAGCTCATAAGTAAAATTTGGAGAAAACACAAAGGATACCTGAACTAGGCTCAATGCAATCAATGTTGCAACCCCACCACCTATGACATGACCATCAGGAGTAGAAAGAGAAGCGCTTATCCCACCAGTTCGACTGTGTGGCCCTCCATCCTCAGCAAGCAAATAAGAACCCGACAAGCATAGTATCTCAAATTGACCCTAAGAAAAGCTAAAACATGTCAAACAAGTTTCCCCCAAGCTGTACAATTATCACTAAAGGTTCAAAAGGACAAATATGGAAATGAAATTTTCAATGCGTCCAAAACTAGCTTAAAGCTATAAGTTGAACTGACTTTGTTTTCTAAAGCATTTAACTTTTTTCGCAAGCTAAACCAATCTACCACTTTCCATTTATTTAAGCCCCAAGACCAAATGTAAAAAGTTCAAATCAAGCCCCAAATTAATCCTGGACCAAATGTACTTGAACAAGAGAAACATGTGGAAGTCATGCACCAAATTCCAAACTGTGATACTTGAATTTACCATTTTTATTTTTTAAAAGTACAGAGAAACCGAAAGGAGCAGAATTGCCACAACCTCATATGTCACGGTAGGAGTAGAAGATTCAGGTTGACGTAGAGTTACTGAGGAAACTGTACCACTGCCTGATAAGATGCAGACAACTCTTGGCCTTTGTTGCGCAAAGGACAACATTTTTGCCTGAAAAAAAGAATATAAAAATGTGACTCCCAGGTCAAGCTTTAGCTTTAAATGCCTAGGAAGTTGGCAGAAGCTATTTTCAACTAATCATATAAGTGTAAACCCATTAATGTTTATTTGAACCATACATGTGGGGTTCAGTACACCAATTCACAAGGCTGATGCTTACTTGCAGTGGAGTCAACAACTCCCACTCGGTTCATACATAGACAAATAACCATGGCACAGTGAACTGTGATGTGCACTGCAGATGTTACCATAATGCAAAGAGCAGTGCCCTTCTGAGAAAGTTGAAGGATGTTATCACCAGGGATTTAAATAGCATTCTGCTATCGGAATAGCGGCCACTATGTGGCAGTAGTGGTACCGTTCAAAACTGTTATTGCACGACCGCAATACCCACAATAACTGCAGTAACATCGATTATGTCCACAATCGCGACAAATGCAGCGCAATCAAAAATGCGACCACAGCAGCAATTTAAATCCCAGGTTATCCCTACAATTCCTTCAAGTGAACTATCAAGACAATGTACGAATACAGTGCCCTTCATCTATACTTCTCTAATTCATATCACCAGACAACCCTTCATTTGGACATGGACATGCTTGTAATCTCATATATATACATATATATAATCACAACGGTGTGAGCATTTGACCCGTATTTAAGTGTACTAAATGTCAGATGAACTAGAAAAGTGTATCATACTTCTCCAATTCCAATGGTGACAACATGGGGAGCAAATGCCTGCCCTGCTGAACTGTTCATCCATTCACCTACAAAAAGAAAAAAACTGAACCTTTAAAGACAAACACAGAAACCAGGCAGCATATATTTGCAATAGATGTAGTTAAAAATCTTCTAATCGAGCACTAAAACCAAACTCAGGTTTGCAGTCTAAGTACAAGCAAAGCTGCTCACTGAAGTTAAAACGTAAAACAAGTTTCATTTAACAATGGTGATGTATAATGTAAGGGCAAGAACACTTTTTCTCCTTTCAAAAATGAATCATAAAGGGTGTAATAACTGTGATAGCACAAATAGCATAATTGTCCATATCAAATATGAATTGTAGCCTAGAACTATCAGATCACAAAATAGGACAACAAAATAAAATTTAAAGAGACATGGTCATTTCCTACCAGAACATATTAGCTACATTCCAATTGAAACATCAAAATCCAAAAAAAAAAAGGAAAAAAGGATCTAACCTAGAGCAGCTAACTGTTGCTTCCTCCCAGTCCCAGGAGGCCGGCCTCGGTTTCGTTTTCGACCAGAAGCATCCGCTCCCGATGAAGGTTTAGGCTTTGCAGACATAGGCGAAAGCCCCAATGAAACCTGCCCATCAGGCGCATATTTCCGCGGCCTCCCTCTCTTCTTCCCTGGCTCCGCCGGCGGCACCCCGGAGGAGGCATCGATGGTAGTGCCATGAGGCAAAGCGCTATTTTTAAGCTCCCCTGTAAAGTTTGATTCAACATTTGACTGGAGCTGAATCTGAGGGTTAGATAAACGCCTGAACCGTGGTTGAGAATGAAATGCTGCTATACCAATATGTATTAGTGACCCAGATCTAGACCCACTAGACCCACCAAGCCCTGTATGAATATAATAAGGAGCTGAGCCGCCTGTTGAAGCCATAGCTTCTCTCCCCTCCATACATTTACAAGAAACGAAGTCCTGAGAAAAGGGTCTTAGTAGATTCCACAGGGAAATACTCTAACAAGTTAGAAAAAAAATCACTGATATCCAGTAAAACTTTCTAAACCCTAAATATTTTAGGGCAAACACAGAGGTTCGAAGGCAGGGGTTTTCAGGGTCATTTTCTAAATTTTTAAAGTTTAAGGACCCAGGAAGCATGAATTGAAACATGAATAAACAAAGCAACAAAACAAGAGTTGGAGGTTGATTTTCACTCGGGTAAAACCCATAATTGAAAAATGTTAACCATTCAGCCGGAAAAATAATGGCCACTATGAAAAGCTTAAAGAACCGAACAAAGCAGGGAACTTTTGGAAGTTGCTGCACTGCCACTCAGAGGCCTGAACTCAACTCATCGAGAAACTAAGAAACCCTAGCTCTGAAAACGATCATAAAGCTTAGGCACTATCTCTATATCATAACTAATTCTACTTTATTCAAAATATTTAATTATTATAATATTAATTTTATAAATATAAATAAAACATATACATTTTTAAAAAATATCAAGATAAAAAGTATTAATAAAATATTTATAAATAACATTATAAAAATATAAATAAATAAGAAAATTACAATTAATACATAAGTTGCATAATTATTTATTTTAATTCTCCGACTTAGAATATTCATTCTATAAATGTTCAATTAGTACATTTCGTAGAATTAAATTAGTATGTTTATTTATCTAATTTTAATATATTTTTATCTATCTTGCAATTTAATCTACTTGAATATATTATATTATGTTTAATATAATAAAATAAAATAAAAATCAAAAACTAAAAATAAAAATAAAAAAATATTGTAGCGTGATACTGTAGCGATCTTCAGGGTAGAGTAGGAAAGTGACGCAGCGCTGGAGCAAAAAAATTAGAGATATGCTCCAGTTTAACACATCGTTGGAGATGCTCTTAAGCTTAGATAAGAGAAATGCAAGAACAAGGGAAAAAGAGAGACGGTAACAAAGAGAAGACAAAGGGGCAAACTGATTTGAAATTTTAGTATTTTTTTTTAATTAAAGGTGTGTGGCAATGAAGACAAATGGAAGACTTTATAAACTACTTCGCGGGTTATTTTTGTTATTTCTTTTAAATTTTTAGCTTAATGTAAAATAATAATTTAAATTATATTCAAAGTTAATTTCAGATATTTTATAAGTTTATTAAAAATAAACATTTTTTATAGTGAGACTGTTGACAAACGGGGTTGAATTAGCCTAATAAAGATAATGTTTTTTTATTTAGTCTATTAGGGTAAGTTAAAATTTATTTTGGGATTTACTGTATTTTTTACAGTGTTATTGGAACTCGTCACAGTGATGTGATGACTTCCAATAAAAAAATTTATTCGAACTCGTCACGCTGAGGTGATGAGTTCGAATAAAATATATTTTTTATTAAAATCTATCACATCGAGATAAAAATTAGAATAAAAAATATTTTTTATTGGAACTCGTCACCTAGGTGTGACGAGTTCCGTGTCACAGTAGAAAAGAACATAGATCCCAAAATAAATATTGGCTTGCCCTAATGGGCTAAATAAAAAAACTTATATATTTCTCTATGCTAATTTTGCTGGCAAACGAAGAGCGGGTGCGGATACTTTTTCTCCATCTTTATATATTGATTTAATATTTTTTATATCTACCATAAACAACAGGCAATATCTTATTTGGAGATAATAGAGGCATGTGTTTAAGGTTTAAAAATTTTATAATGTATTATAAGGTATAATTATCTTTAATATTTGTTATTATGTTTTTAATTTTTCTTTGATATTTATTATTCTGAGCTTATTTTTTAATATTTATTATTAGGGTCTACTTTTATAATTTATTTTTTAATATTTGTATATCTGTCTAAATTTTTGTCAATATGTCTTCTAACATTTTTTTATTAATTGTCCAATTTTTTCAATACTTATTTTTAGGATTCAAATTTTTCAATATTTGTTATTACGGACAAACTTTTAAAATTCATTTTTTTCTTAATATTTATTTGTTGTTATGAGTTCAATTTTCAATACTTTTTATGTTCAATTTTTTTAATATTTGTTATTATGAGTATACTCTTAAAACTTATTTTATTTTAATATTTGTTATTAGGGACTCATTTTTTTAATACTTATTATTATGAAGCTATCCTTAAAGTTTTTTTCCCAACATTTATTATTATGAACAATTACTTAAATAACAATATGTAACAACAACAATGATTGTTATGCAGTGGTAACGACATCGTCCAAATCTGTGATATCAACAATCGTTATGTCCACAATAGTATATGTTATTAAAAATCCACAACCACGATACTTGCAGTGACTACAATATCATTTGTTATGTTCACAATAACAATAAACACAACGTAGTCGAAGACACAAATACAAATTGTAAATTAAATCTCTTATTAGGACCTTATTTTTTTTAGTTCGTCCAGGGCCACCAAAATTTCAGAAATGAGCATGACGATGGCTTAAATTTTTAAATTCATGCCCGCCAACATGAGTACATTCTCAAATCTACTCCCATACTCACTATCCAACTGGATACTCACCACCCATCTCGTACTCACCTATAACTGCCCATACCCGAATGGCAACAACCTCACAGATTACATAAGAAACAAAACATAAAACAAACACGTCATTAAGAATCATAATAAAATAAACAAGGATTAACTGAGTTAAAGATTAACATACATATTAAAATAAACTAAGGTCTTAATACGTAAAACACCATAATAAAATACATATTTAAAGTCTAGAAACATAAATAACAAACACATAATATTTTTGTTCTTTGGTACAATATTATCAAATTTCAGGCAATATTTGTCACATCGGTTATTCTTGTATTTGTCACACCAATTCTAAAAATGTTTATACCCTAACACTTGGTTAAATTACAAGTCATGTTCAATAAAATGTTAAAATTTAAAGAATAGTCTCTCAATTTATAGATAAATTCATAATGGTCCAAAATTTATATGATGGGTAGTTAGTGGGCGAGCAAATGTGGGACTGATAAGGTCTCAAACCCATTACCTACTCACTACCCACGGCGGCTATGACTTGTTACATCCAAACTCGTCCACTATCCACTAAACTTATACCCATTTTCATCACAGTTGACATAGATACAGTGTGAAATCCATAAAATTGTACTTGTTTACCATCCTAAGTGTGACCTTCATCAAAGGTTTTGATGTTTTGAAACTTTTATATTTCAATGGTCCAAACTTTTACATTTTTCTTAAAAGGTTTCAAATTTCTTTTTTGTTTTCAAGAATTAAAGGTTTCTAAATCTATTCTAAAAATCTCAAACGGTTATGATAACATATAAAGGTTCTTAGAAAAGTAAAAAACAACAAGAAATGTGTTCCAAACATTTATGAGAAAAATCTCACTTTATTTCTTTTTGTTATATTGAACATTAGTTTGTTCCTTATTGTAATTTTATTTCAATGTTTTTGGGTGAGTGAGTATATTAAAGACATATTATATTGTGATGATCTATTCTTAGCTTACCTATATTTTCTGTAATGCCCCAAATAGTGAATTAAGAACTTTATTGAAAGAATTTAAAAATTAGGAGGATTGATTCGATTAAAGGTTAAAGATGAGAATGATTAGGCTTAATGGTTTAGACTAAATTGTGACAATGGATTATTAAGAGGGCAGTTTGGTCCTTTACAAGAAATAAATTTAAAATTATTAGTTATTAAGGTATAGATTTAAGCGAAAAAGGGAAAGTAAACACCAAATAGTTACTTCATTTTCTTTTTGTTTCACGTTAGTGAAGCATTCTCCATAGCTACAAAGGAAAGCTTCTATTAAATCAGTTTTTCCTTTTGATTGTGGGTTGTTTTTATAACCTTCAGTGATATAGAAGCTTAAGGAAGTATTAAATGATACTAAATCCATAAGATGGAGAAAATATTGGAGATTTTAGAAAATGGGTTTTGAAATGATATGTTAGCATATTGGTGTTTATTGAGGTTTAATGGTAGATTTGACTTGTCAACGTGGTATTATTGGTGTTTATTGAGGTTTAATGGTAGATTTGACTTGTCAAAGTGGTAAATGAAAGATTAGAAGTATTAGATGAGATTAAGAACACATTAGAAAAAGTGGTTTGATTCT